GTTGTGGCTGTTGTGTGTTGCAGGTCGCCTGCTGCAGCAGCCGCTGCTTCTGCTGCTGCTGCTGCTGCTGCGCAGCGCTTGCCGCTGGGGCTTCGTTTGATGGGGGCTCTTCCTGTCTGGTTTCTTGCTGCTGTCAACTGGCTAGAAGTAAACCCTAAACCCTAAACCCTAAACCCTCAAGTCCTAGATGGGTATTTGAATCTTCCGGGCTTTAAGAATAAGTGCAGACGCACGCAGAAAGAATGGGTTTAGGGTCTAGGGTTTGCGGTTTAGGGTTTAGGGTTTAGGGTTTGGGCTTGAGGGTTTAGGGTTTAGGGTTTAGGGTTTAGGGTTTGTGAGCAGGAGCATGTTGCTTCTTCTTTTTCTTTCGGGTTTACAAGGCAGGACAAACAAGCAGAAGAGGCGGCGCAGCCCCTTAAACGGTAAGCGTTCAGGGTTTAGGGTTTAGGGTTTAGGGTTTAGGATTTAGGATTTAGGGTTTAGGGTTTGCTGTTGCTTGTGCTTGTTGCTGCTTGGGCTGCAGCAGCACTTTGCTGTTTCTGCTGCAGCAGCGGCAGCTGCACAATGCGAAGTATACGCTGCACCTCATTGCCCCAGACTCAGGTGAGACCTAAACCCTAAACCCTAATCCCTAAACCCTAAACCCTCAGTGCGTGCCTTCTCAACCAAGTGTAGTTCTTCTGCCTAACGATTTAGGGTTTCGAATGAGAGTCAAAAAGCTAGGGATTCGGGTTGAGGGATTAGGGTTTAGAGTCTATGACTTAGGGTTCATGGTTTAGGGTTTAGGGTTTAGGGTTTGGGGCGTCTTTTAGGCCTTTCGGAACCTTCTCTGGGCTTCGTTACTCTCAACGGCCACCCTCTCGGTGCGTCTGCTCCTCTCAAACCCTAAACCCTAAACCCTAGACCCTAATATGTGCATCTGAAGCCTTATCCCCAGAGGGGATTCTGAGCCGCTAAGACGGAGGGTTTGGGGTGTATGGCCCCGTTATTAGGGTTTAGGGTTTAGGGTTTAGGGTTTAAGGTTTAGGGTTTTTGCAGGTGATTACGTCGTCTCAGCTGCCTTAGTTGAAGGCGGAGCGAGAGAAGCGCGAATGCCCATCCCTCCAGACTTGTGGGTTGCTTAGGGTTTAGGGTTTAGGGTTTAGGGTTTAGGGTTTGTTCCGTGAATATACAGGGTTTAGGGTTTAGGGTTTAGGGTTTGTCAAACCCTTTTCTGTGTTTCCAGTCTTATAGAGGGCCTGAACGTCATCAACATTGTAGATATGCTGGGGGCCCGCCTAAAGGATGTCTTCATTCGAGAGGTACCTTAAACCCTAAACCCTAAACTCTAAACCCTAAACCCTAAACCCTAAGCCGTTGAGCCTAAACCCTAAACCCTAAACCGTTGCGCCTAAACCCTAAACCCTAAACCCTGACTTGAACTGGTTACACTACACCAACGCGTAAACCCTAAACCCTGCTTGAAGATGGTTCTATGTTGTCACCCCCTAAACCCTAAACCCTAAAACGCCCTAAACCCTAAACCCTAAACCCTCGTTTCGTTCAGCGTTTATGATTTATATATATATATATTGTTCTGGGGGGTTGCTGCACCTGCAGGAATTATATGAAGAAATATCGTTGCAGCAAACTGCTGCTGTGTCTTGGTGGCCAGCAGCAGTTGTGTTGCTGCTGCTGTTTTTTCTCGCCTCTCTTCTTGTGCTGGTGAGGGTTTAGGGTTTAGGGTTTAGGGTTTAGAATGAGGGGCCCTTCTCACCAATTACGTTGCAAAGAGCAGCAAAACGGAAGTGCAGCAAACAAATAAATTTTAAGAATACACAACAAGAGCAGCAAACAAATGCATATAAGGACGCTGATTAGTAAAGGGTTTAGGGTTTAGGGTTTAGGGTTAAGAGCGAGAGTATTTCTGTAAATTTTCTTTATATATAAAAACGATTTATTTATAATTGCAACAGAAAGCCGGTCCTCTCCTCTCTCTATGCGTCTAGGGTTTAGGGTTTAGGGTTTAGGGTTTCGAGATGCAAATGCATGTATGCATGCGTGCATGCATGTTTCTATATAAATGGACAGCATTACTACTTTTATATATTTGTTTGTTTATTTGTTTGTTTTGTGTTTTGTTTGTTTGTCTGCTGCATGCAGCTGCTAGCCAGAGCAGCAACAAAGAGGCATAGAAGCAATCGACTGTTAGCTGTGCTGCAGCAACTGGCGGAGCCCGAGGATTTCGTCAGCCCTCAGAACTCCCCTCGCATGCAGCCCTGCCATATGCACCACCATTAGGGTTTAGGGTTTAGGGTTTAGGGTTTAGGGGTAAGGGTAGTCATTCTTCTTCGCCCTCCATCTCGGCTGCGAGCTCTTCCTCTTCTTCTTCTTCTTTTCCTAAGAAGTTTTTCATTTAAAAGTCAAAGCAAATTTAAAATTAATACTATATTTTAAATTATTATTATTAAATTTTATTTTTTATAGTATTTATTTTCAATAGGGATACTCACCCAGCTGTTCTGCTGCCTCGCTACCGGGCCCCTGTTGTGTGTATTGGAGTTTAGTATGAAGAACATCGATAAAATTGAAGTAAAAACCGAAGAAAGAATAATAATTTAAACATTTTAATTTAATTTAATTTAATTTAATTTATTTTATTTGTCATTATGAACAAAAATGACCCCACCTCCCGTTCTATGAGATCTCTCTCCCTCGTTTTGAGCTGCGTTAGCTTGTCAGCTAAGATATCTAGTTCTCTAGATTTTTCTTTTAAATCTGAAAATAGAAAAAATAATTATTTTATATTATATATATTTATTTTATTTATTTATTCATAAATATTTTTCAGTAACAAACCTGCATTTGCAAATGTTGCTTCCAATTCAAGTTGCCGATTGCCGGATTTCGCCAGTTCTCGCGCAGAGTTTTTAAGTCTGAGAAGAGAAAAAAAGAGAGAAAATGCAATTAAATTGTTGAAAAATAAATTAATATGTTTAAAATAATTCAAATAATTCAAAGTAATTATTATTAAATACTTGTTTGTCAGTTCATTTCTTTCTTTTTTCCTCTTTTCAATCGCCGATTCTGTCTCGCGGATCTCGCTGCGGATTTGCTGAGAGGGCAGAAAAAAAGGTAGTTTTTGGGTTTATTTTTCATGAAATTTCATTTTTTATTCATTATTTTCATTTACATTTGAAAATTTTGAATGTTTACCTCCAAAGTTGTACCGGAAATCTCGCCGAGTTTCTTCATTTCATATTCACGCACAGCGCGCATCGCTGGGCTGGAGCGGTCGCCGATTTGTGCTAGAGTAGTTTCAGCAACATCTGCTGCCTAAAAAGAAGCGAAAAATCAGTTAAATAATAATATTTTTAGGACATTTAATAATTAAATAGTTTTAAATGCATTTATTTTGTCTATTTTCTTCTTTTTTGAGCTCAATTTTCGCAACTTACCTCCAATGTTTGAGACTGAGTGCCTGGTGGAGGCTCTAAGAAAATTACGGGTGCAGCTAAATCCGGGAGCATGCCTCCGACTATAAATAAATAAATAAATAAATAAATAAATAAATAAATAAATAAATCAAGATAACAAACAATTAATTAATTATTTTGGGTAAATAAATGCATAAATTATATGAGTAGGTAGTGCAGGAAACCTTGCATATTGAATTTCGTATATGTAAGAAATAATATGCAAATACAACATGAAGACGGATGAAATAAACAATAAAAAGCAAATACAATTAACAAGCAAAATAAGCAAATTAAATAAATATATAAATATAATGAAAACCTTTATGAAAATCTTTACTCTCTTACTTGCGCCTGTTTGGCCTGTTGCCGCTCTTTTTGCTGCATTTAATTTGTTTTAATTTTTTTTAATTTTTCACAAATAAAAAAAAGAAAAACCTTGAAGAGCTGCAGCTCCTTTGTTGGTCTCCAGAAGGCCTGAATAAACGTAGTTTTAATTGAGACTGATAGCAAAATAATATAGATTAAAACAATATAACCACTACCACTTAGACAATAGCAATAACAATAACAATAATAATAAAAATAGTAATAATAATAATAATAATAATAATAGTAAAAAAAGAATTACCTTCTTCCTTCATAAATTTTAACTCTGCTTGCAGTTTTTCTTTTAATTCTTCATTTTGCTGTATTTTGCGGTCGAGTAATTTTTGCATGGTTTCCAGCTTCGCTGTTTTTTCTGCATTTGCATTAATATGAAATAAGGTATTTGAATATAAACAAATAAAAGCATTTAAATGTATGCAAATAAAAGCATTCGTCTGTATGCATATTAATGCCTTTCAAGCGCTGAGAAGGCTGTCTATTTATGCATTTAAATAAACATATTTTAAACTGGCTCTTCTGATTAAACTTTAAAACAAAAAAAGAAAACCTACCCGCATCAACAGCTGGAATTTGAGGGGTTTCTGCTGCTGCTCCTGCAGCAGCACCAGCTGCTGCTGCTGGATTGAAGAAAGGAGGAGATAATGCTGCTGTTTGCTGGGGAATTAAAGTCTGTAGAGATCCTCTTAAAGCTCCTGCTGCGAGTTGAGAGAAAAACTTTTCTCGGCTTTGCAACTTAGTCGCGTTTCCTCCTTCAAAAGAAAAGATAAAAACCCCAATGCAAACAGCAGCAGCAGCTGTTGCTGCTGCCGCTGCAGCTTTCATTCTTTTGAGGGAAACCTGATAAAGTTTGAATAAAAATGCAAAATTAATTCATTTGAGCGCTTTAAAACGATGCACGTTCATTAAATAAACGCCTAATCGCTCGCTTTCCTTTGCAGATTTTTCGGGTGTATAGGCAGCTCCTCTGATTTGGTGAATGTGCAAACGCTAAACCTCTTCATTTTGATTTTATCTCTCTTCTTTTTTCTCTTGTTTCCTTTCTTTCGCAGTATTTTATCTTTAAAAACAATGTGGAAGAACAGGCATAATTAGAAGTTTCTTCCTTTTTCTTCTTTTTTCTGCTGCACTCGCTGCTGCACTTCCTTGGTTATTCAA